ATTCACATTCAATGTTCATCAGTCATTCATAATAATTGCAATATTCATCATTCAATATTTACTCATATTCAATATTCAATATTCAACATTCAACAATATCCTTAAACTATTCTTAGTCTAAGGCCAATCAATTTAATATTTGTCAACCCTTAAACGAATTCTAGTTTAAATAATTAAACTATATTCCAGTATAAAATATTCCTAAATAATCCTTAAGCTAGGCCTAGTTTAAGATAAAAGGGTTTTGAAAATCTTAAACTTACCTTCACTTAAGGCCAACCAAAAACCGACAGCGTAGTGTTCACTGTTGGGTGGGTGGTACCCCCAAACGAGTAGGTACTCAAGTTTGGTTCTTGGATCCCGTACGTACGTTTTAACCCTAGCCACCGGGGTTCATACCCGCAAGGCCTAACTTAAATAGGTATATCTTAGAGTTCTTCTAGATACCTTTCAAATCAACATTAATATGGGTATATCTTAGAGTTCTTCTAGATACCTTTCAAATCAATATTAACATGGGTATATCTTAGAGTAGTAATTCCATGACTAGTCATAAACCATTGATTTTATATGGTATTAAAGCCATGACTAGTAATTCCATGACTAGTCATAAACCATTGATTTTAATTTATAGTGATGTTTGGAATACTACTCAATGTTAGACCTGGCAAAACAAAACCAGAACCGATTACCCGAACCGAAATATCCGAAACCGAAATCGAAATGACCCAAAAAATGAAGATCCGATCTATAACCGAAAACCCGAAATGATCCGAACAAACCGAAACCGAACTAAATAATTCATATCCGATTTAAATTTGAAACCGATTAGATCCGAAACCGATAATATCCGAACCGATTAAACCCGAAACCGATAATACCCGAAACCGATAAAATCCAAAACCGATTAGATCTAAAACTGATAATATCCAAACCCGATTAGAACTAAAATAAATAAAATCGGAACTATGTTTGCCTTTCAATAAACATATTATATTTTTAAATTTTTACTTTTATTTTACCATTTGAACTAAGTACATTACTTGCTCATTCCCTCATAAAATAGATTATCTTCTAGAAAAAAAGTAAAAACTTTCATGCATTAAATTTATTATATGTAGAAATTAAATATAAGTTATACATATAAATGATAACATACAAACAAATAAAATTTCCGTAATTTTTAAATAGTGAAGTGTGATATTCTTTGTGAGACGAAATGATTATATGATGAATTGTATGGAATAACTATATTTTATCCTAATTTCATCCGATTACAATAAATTTTATTGATTTGATAGTTAATTTAATTAGTTTCAAACCAATTCACTCAATATTAGTCAATATAATTAGATGCTACTGTTAGCATTTTGAGAAGACTCTTTAGCGGCAAATTTAGTGTTATCATTTTTAAATTTGATCTACACCATTACATTTAGGTGTAAAATTAATTATATTTGACTCTATTAAATTTATTTTTATCTATTTTCAACCAAATACACTCAATAATTTATAAATTTTGCACTCAATTTAATAAAATTCACTTAATTTCACCCAATTTTACTCAATTTTTACCAAATTATATTCAAATGGAATATAACACTATTTGAATTTATCTTTTATCTTTTCATTTATAAACATAAGTATATTAGTAGATGTGAGAAAAATTTGATATTTCAAAACTAAATTTTAAAATCAATTTAATGATATTAAATTTATATCATAATTAAATATATATGTTTTCATAATTTGTAGTCCAAATTTGTAAAATATGACTAAAAAGTCAAAAAAGGAAGATTATTTAGGGTAGAGATAATATAATTAGAAAATATTATAAAATAATATGAGGTATTGAATTGATGATAGATTGATAAATGTGATAAAACGTAAAAAGAAACAGGTATAGTTAAATTTTATTTAGAATATAATATATATCCAAAATATATTTGATCCAAAACCGAAATATACCCGAACTGAACTAGACCCGAAACCGAAATATATCCAACTCAAAATGTATCCGAACCAAAATCTATCCGAACCGATTTATAACCGAACCGTATCTGAACCGACTCGAAACCGAACCGAAACAAAAAATGTATCGAACCAAATCAAATCCGAACCGAAATTTAACCGATCCGATCTAAACCGAACCGATTATAACATATAATCAAAAGATGTCCGAACCGAAAAAGTCCAACCCGAAACCGATCCGGTTGACCCGATTGCCACCTCTACTCAATGTTCACTCGATGGTTTTTATTACTATTTGATTTTTGTTGATCACTATGCTAAATACATATAATGGTACCTGTTAAAACATAAATATGATGTCTTTTTGGTCATATGCATTTCACATTTCCGTCTATCTTTTTAATAGTCTTTCCATCCCACTTCTCAATAATCGGTCTCCTTTTGAAGCACTATTTCATAAATTTCCCAATAATGATACACTTTAGTCCTTTGGACGTTTGTGTATCGTCCCGAAAATAGGCCTATCAGAATTAATTAATTAATAATTAATTAATTACTGAGATGGATCCAAAAATAAGTGATTTATAAATGATGGATATCGGGTGCGAGTAATCGATCAAACCCACCTATGGCGGATGCGAGCGATAAGACTGACGGCCCAATCATGGGCTGAATGGGGATAATCCAGTCCAAGAGAGAAAGAGGACACGTGGCCCATACCACTAGATTGTGGGGGAATGGGAAGAGAACGAGACCGGAAAGGAAGGAATCACAACTCCATGATCTCCATAATTCCTTTCATTATGTGTAATGTTAATTGAAAAATTAGAAGTGCTATAAAAGGGGAAAGAACCCGGCATTGTAAGGGCATGACCCCAGCAACTACATACTTAATTAAAGAATATATTACGAGATTAGATCTTTCTGATTGATATTACGTTCTTGGTCCGCCATCTGATCGGGTTAACCCATCATTGGTGCTTTCATTGAGAGAAACTGTGAGATAAAACTGTGAGATTATGGCCGGACGAAGGACGAGACGTAACACCGCCATTTCCGCCCAGTCCACGGTGAGGAGTGACCACCCTGAACAAGGCATAATCGTTCATGTCAATGGGCTGGAAACGGCGTTGAATAATGTGGCTAACATGATGGCCAACATTATGGAACGCTTGGATCAGGCTCTTCCTGGCCCATCCGGTACCCAGAATATCCCTGCCGGGCAGCCCCGCCAGGTCCTGCGTACTGCCAGTTCTCCCATCCTCCAGGAACTTCATGACCCGGAGGAGGTCGAGAGGGAGAGACAGGCCATCGCTAGGCGCCAGGTAGAGGAGATGGCCCGAAATAATAGGTCGAATAGGGATCAAACCAGGGCTGTGAGTCAAATCATGGGTAACGAAAACGAGAACCCGCGGGGGACAATTTTTGAAAGGATATCTCACCAGAGGGCTCACATTAGTGAGAGGCTGGGGAAGAATCCGGACAAGGCACCCCAGGGTTGGGTACGACCCTAGGCTAGCTAAGTGGCATCCTCCAACCGCGAACCACGGCAGTGAGCCAGCCGCGGTGGGAGCCAAGCCCCGATCCGGTCATTGGTGGTCTTGGACGAGGAAGAAGTTCAGAGTCAAGCCAGGGTCCCAGCACCGCAGCGTCTGGGCCGCAAGTACTGGAGGCTGGCGAGTTCCAGGACTTGAGGCAGCAGATCCAGGAGATGCAGAGGAAGATAAATAGGGGACGAGTATTCACTACCCGGATGAATACTCCGCTCGCCCCCGAGATATGTGCGGAACCATATCCGCAGGGCTTCAAAATGACGTTTGTCAAGCGTTATGATGGGGAATCGAATCCCCAAGAACACATAAATAGCTATGTCCAGGTGATGATCGCCGTTGATGCTAGCGACGCGTTAATGTGCCGATGTTTCTTACAGACAGTTGATAGCAAGGTTGCGGAGTGATGAATCACATTCCTGCTGGATCGATCCGGACTTGGGATGAATTTGGATTACGGTTCCTGGAGCATTTTGCAGGGAACTGCCATCCCAAGAAGCATTTCACTCACTTGGCTTCAGTGCGGCAGAAACATGGGGAGTCCTTTAAGAATTTCCTGGTCCGATGGAGAAAAGAATCGAGGGAGGTGGAAGGATTAGATGATAAATCCAGGTTAGCCATGTTCACGGCGGCATTGCAGGATGGTCTCCTTTATACCGATCTTACAACTCATCCCTCGTATACCTTTGAAGAAGCAATGGTCCGGGCCGGAAGGTATGTGACCCTGGAGGAGAGGAAGGAGGAGAAGAAAGAGAAGACTCCCAAAGAAGAAGAGAAGGCGGGAAATAAGAAGCCTTTCAAGAACAAGAAGCAGGGCTTCCCGGATGGCCCAAAGGGAACAAACTCTGGGACCTCGGAGAAGCACAAATCTGCCAATCCAGTGTTTACATTGCCGGTAGCTGAGGTCATGGCCCATGCTGCACAGCAAGGACTGATGACATATCCAACCTATTCCCAGAAGGTCTGCAATGTGGAGGACACTGGAAAATGGTGTGCTTACCATCGCAAGAATGATCACAACACAGAAGACTGTTATACCCTGAAGAATGAGATGGCAAGGCTAATCTGCCGGGGCCATCTGAAGAAATTTGTACAAGATGGTGACGTGGGAAATCCTGGGAATGCTCAGAATGGGAAGCGTAGAGATAAGGAGGTGGCCCAGGCGGAGGCCCGGGAAAAACGCCACATCGGGCTTGAAGATGAAGAAGAAGATTCAGAGCCCGCACCACACCGGCAGAAGAGGCACCACGAGTGTAATTACATCATTGGTGGGAATATTGGTGGAGACTCGGTCACTAGCCGGAAAAAGTGGGCCAACGCGGCGATAGTCAACAAGGTGGTGGTCCCAGAAGGTAAGAAGCTGAAAACTGTGCCGATTGTATTTTCTAATGCTGATTTGCCAGAAACAGGGGTCCCCTATAGGGACGCCCTGGTGATTACGATTGATATAATGGACTTGCTGATCCACAAGACTCTGGTGGATACGGGAAGTTCCGTTAACATCATGTATATGGATACTTACAAGGCTCTTGGTTTGACAAGAGATGAGTTATCACCCATTAAGACTCCGCTGACCGGGTTCACGGGCGACTCTATTGAACCGGAAGGGGTGATAACCCTGCCGATTGAGATAGGAGATACTAAGGCCACCCGGAAGTTGGACATGGAGTTTGTTGTAGTGGGCATAATCTCCTGTACCAATATCATCCTGGGCAGACCCGGATTAGAAGATCTGGAGTGTGTAATCTCACCTCGTCACCTATGCATAAAGTTTCCAACCCCCCCATGGAGTTGGAATTGCCAGGGGATCCCAGAGAGTGTCTCGGGCATGGTATTTGAAGGCTACTAAACAACTTATCAAATACAAAACCCAAGTGGGGGAGGTGACTGCACAACTCCTAAGGGCCGAGGAGAGATGTCCCAGAGTAGAAGTTGCAGGCGACATTGAGGAGGTTGAACTCGAGCCGGGCACGCCGGGAAGGTTGGTCAGAATTAGAAAGGGACTGGGGGCTGAGCTCAGGTCGTGGGTGATCTCTGTTCCTAGAAGGTTCAGGAAGGTCTTTGCATGGAGTCCAGCTGATATGCCAGGGCTGGATCACAAGATTGCAGTCCATCGCCTCAATGTATTGTGGGATGCTAAACCGGTGAAGCAGAAGCGGAGACATTTGTCGCAGGAAAGGAGAGACTTCGTGAAGAAGGAGGTTGCGACCCTGCAGAGCATTGGACACATCCGGGAGGTGCATTACCCGGATTGGTTGGCAAATGTAGTCTTGGCGCCCAAGCCTCCTTCGTGGAGAATGTGCGTCGACTACACAGATTTGAACAAAGCATGCCCGATGGATCCGTTTCCTCTCCCCAATATTGACCAAATGGTGGATGAGACTGCCGGATCAGAATTAATGAGCTTCATGGATGCTTTCAGTGGCTACCATCAGATTCAGATGCACCCGGCTGATGTGGATAAGACAAGTTTTATGACCCCTGAGGGCCTATACTATTACTTGGTGATGGCATTTGGATTGAGAAACTCTAGGGCGACATACACCCGGATGATTTCTCAGGTGTTCAAAGCCGTCCTGGGGCGGACCATGGAAGCTTATGTTGATGACATGATTGTCAAGTCCAAAGAGGCCCGAGACCACGTCCGGGACCTTGAGGAGGTCTTTGAAATCATGATGAAGGTAAACTTAAGATTAAATCCGAAAAAGTGTACTTTTGCTGTTCAGGATGGAAAATTCTTGGGGCACATGGTTAGCCGGAGGGGAATTGAGGTTAACCCGGAAAAGGTTAGGGCCATCATGGAGATGGAACGACCGAGGACAGCGAAGGAACTGCAGCGGTTGACGGGGAGATTGGCGGCCCTGAATCGTTTCCTTTCAAAGCTGGCAGAGAAGGCGCATCCCGTTCTTTACTGTAATCAAGAAGAGGGCGACCTTTGAATGGACGCAGGAATGTCAAGAGGCATTTGAAGAATAGAAGAGATATCTGGCAAGTTCTCCGGTTTTATCCAAACCGTAGTCCGGGGATGTCCTGACCTTATACTTAGCAATTACAGACTATGCCATTAGTACTGTGATTGTGAGGGAAGAGAACGGAGTCCAGCATCCGGTCTACTATGTCAGTAAGACCTTGAGAGATGCGGAGTTAAGGTATTCCCGCCCGGAAAAGGCCATGTTAGCGGTTTTTGGACGGCAAAGAGGTTAACCCCATACTTTCAAGCGCACCGGATTGTGGTACTCACCAATGAGCCTCTGGCATCACTTACCTGGAGCCCAGCGGCATCTGCCCGGATGACCAAGTGGGCGGTCTTTATCAGTCAGTACAATGTGGAGTTCAGGCCGCGTCTATCAATCAAAGGGCAGGCACTCGCCGACTTTCAGGTTGAGTTTACTGCCAGGGAGATGACAAGAGCCCAGGTCGGAACTCGGGTAGAACATGACTGGTGGGTGATGAGCATTGACGGATCTTCCGGGTCTCGATCCTGTGGAGCGGGTATTGTCTTGATCACTCCGGAAAATTTCCGGATATATTATGCTATCAGATTTCAGTTCCGCGTATCCAACAATGAAGCCGAATATGAGGCCCTGATCAATGGACCGAGAATCCTCGTCAAGCTAGGGGTGTCCAGGGTTCAATATATAAGCAAGTTAGCAACTGTGGAGGAGTTGGCAACCCTGAGTGTCAACAGGGACAAAGTGCTCTGGGTATCAGCTGATCCTCCTGAATGGTTGGACAGGTTGGCCAGATATATTGAAGATGGGGTAGTCCCGGTAGATGCGCAAGAAGCCCGGTTATTGCGAATGAGGGCACCTACCTACAAGGTGCAGGATGGAGTCCTGTATAAGCGGTCTTACAACGGTGTTTTACTCCTCTGTCTCAGGGCGGCAGAGGCAAAAGCGCTTATAGAAGAGATACATGAAGGAGTATGTGCTGCACATCAGGGCCCATACTCTATTTCCAGAAGGGCGATAATCCAGGGATATTTCTGGCCAACAATGAGGAAAGATTGTGAGGAATATGTGCGTAAGTGCCCAACCTGTCAACAATTTCAATATTACACGCCCATCAGTTCAGTGATCCCCTTCTCCAGGTGGGGAATCGATATTGTGGGTGCCCTGCCGAAAGGGATTGGACAGGCAAGATGGATAGTGGTGGCCATAGACTATTTTACCAAGTCGGTGGAAGCTGAGCCACTTGCTGGGATAACAGGGAGGCAAATGATCGACTTCGTGGGAACCAATATGCTTTGTAGGTTTGGGGTCCCGAAACAGATCATATCCGACAACGGAACCCAGTTTTAGGAGGCAGAGTTCCAAGACTTCCTCAAAACTTGGGGAATTCAGCATACGAAGTTGTCTGTAGCCTATCCCCAGGCTAATGGACAGGTGGAGAACGTCAACACGACAATCATAAGTGGGATAAAAAAGAAGCTGATATCAGAAGGAAGCAAATGGGTGGATGAACTACCCAAAATCTTGTGGACATACAGGACAACTCCTAGAAGAGCTACGGGTGACACTCCTTTTGGCTTAGCCTATGGTTTTGAAGCCCGGGCACCAGCTGAGACGGTGATGGAGAGAAATGGAATATGACCCGGAAGTGAACGAACAAAATCAGGCCATAGAGCTGAACTTCGTAGAGGAACGAAGGGATGAAGCGCGGATCCGGGCAGAGAATTATCGTCGCCAGGTGAAATCTTACTTTGACAGTAGGGTGAAACCGAGGGCGTTCCAGGTGGGGGATTACATCCTGAGGAAGCGAGAGAAGAGTCAACCAACTAAGGGTGGAAAGCTGGCCAAGAAGTATGAAGGACCTTATATCATCAAGGTCGTTGTTCGCCCAGGTACCTACAAGTTGATNGGGGGGGGGGGGGGGGAGACCACCCCGGGCAAGATAGACCCACATTACATGGATGTAGATAAGTTTATTCCACCTGCTAAAGATAGGGGAGGTAGATAAGTTTATGCCCCCCGGAGGTAGATAAGTTTATGCCTCCGTCAAATATGAAGGAAGGGTTGGGATTGGACTTTGAGGGCCTTTCTAACCTGGAATTCAGGAAGAACAGCAAACAGACTTCGAGGACTGAAGCTTAGTATTCAACCAGCACAGATCAACCGAGCAAGCAAACTTCGAGGGTTGGCGCTCAACTGATCCAAGGTAGATAAGATTATGCTTTAACCCGGAGGAACATAGGTCAGGGGCAGATGAGGTAAGCTCCCATGGCATGTCCAAACCCCGGGAGATGAGATTTTATACAAAGAGTTAAACATGTTTGTACTTGCATTAGATGATGTGCAAAGAAATTAACATAATAGGCTATACTGATGGGCCAAAGGTTAAACCTTTGGTTCGCAATAATAGTTCCTAATGAGATGAACGAAACAGAGAATAAGGGAGTTTGTCGATTGCTAATTCGAAGGTCGTATCTTTGAATTACAACGATAATTCCTAATCAGAAATTAAAGGACATTCCTTGGCATGGGACGTAGGAAAAACTCCCGGACCAAACAGGTGAATGCCTCTTGAAATAAAACAAGAAAAGAAAACTGATTTGCAGGGGGCTAGGCACTGAAGGAGGGCCAGTTGCACCCATGCAGTCAACTAGAAGGAGGTGGGGGCCCCCTCCATGGGCTCCTTCTCTTTGACGAAGGACATGCGGCGGGATCATCAGCTTCATCCATGTCATAGTCTTCCCACGTCCCAGATGGGGGGCAGGTGCTCCAACTGAAGAACCGTCATTGGGAGACTTTGGCAGATTTTGAGAAGCTGTCCGGCTTTCGCGCAAAAGTTCTGCCTCTGCGGGTAGAAAGGAATGCCCAAGTCTGGCCTTGCGCATCCTCTAGTACAAGGCGAAGTCTTGGAGGGTCATAGAGTCCCAGTCTATCCTCCCGGACGGGAGCCTGGGTGGACTAGGAGGTGAAGGCGCAGGAAGACGGGGGGTGGATAGAGTCTTGAGAATTTACCGGGACTCAACCCAACCATGTCATTGGATTGAGCCGGAGAGGCAGGAAAATCATCATCTAAAGATGAAGAAGTTCCGGAATGGGTTAGGTCGATGAAAACCTTCCTTTGGGCTTTGTTTGACATATTGAAGAAATCAGAAAGGAGTGAATTAACAGAAAACCATCCTTCCCCATTTATAATAAAGGGGAAGGAATAGTTGGGAAGCAACAGAGATGGTTAGAAGATGCGGAAGACTTGGTGATTTGGCGGATTAAGCGGTTGATGGTTCCCAAGGTTTGACTGGGGCGTTTCCACTTAAGTGTGTGGGCCAATTCGGTGGGCCCATATGCACTCTGAGAAAAACGTCATCCTTGGATGGTAAGGGGTTAAACAGATATAGACTCCTACTTCATGCAGATGGTGACACACAAGGTAAGATTATGATAAACGACAGGAGATAAAGGTTTTTTATTAAATAACTCAAATAGAAAATTATATATTCTTTTGGGTTACAACAATGGGCCTTATCCCTGATCTAACAATAAAACACTTAAGAGATGGGAGATAAAGATTTTCATTAGATAACTCAAATAGAGAATTACATTCTTTTGGGTTACAACAATGAACTTTATCCCTGATCTACTTCTATCCTACTACTGGAAAAATCTAAAGGCAAGGCGAACCGACACTTCAAGGATCTAAGAGGAATGCATTCGCTAACCCTTGCTGCCCTGCCTGAACCAGAAAAGAACCCCGGAGCGAGGAGGTGTGGAGAGAGCCCACCGTCCCTCTTGAAAATCTTGGACCACGAAAAGCCATTTAATGTTACTTACAAATCATTTATGAACTATATGAATAATGTGAAGATGTCTTGAATGACCTGGATGATTTCGCTAAAACGTATGGATTTAAAACAACCTCGGAATCTCCCACTACATCTATTGTGATTCAAAACTACAAATGCTGCTAAGGGACTTTCAATCAAAGAAAGAATGTTGTTGACTAATGAATGAACGAAATGATGTACAAATATGTCAAGTATGCTCCAAAATACGATGTTATACCTTGCAAAGGAACTTAGGTTATGGTTGTTGAATCTGAGCAGGAACCTACGAAATGGATTGTTGGATGCCTTGCCTATTAATCTCTTGAAGAAAGAACGAGTTTGATAACATCGACAGTTTGAGAATACGTATCCGTTTGGATAATGACGTAATTATGGTTTAACCAAATGAACATGACACGGTCATGATAAAGTGAGATCACTACGAAATGTTAAACGTTGACCCTTAGAAGAATTTCGAGGACGAAATTC